GCAACAGCCTCCATCTTTGGCAACTGAAGGTTACTTGAAGTGTTATTTTGTTGAATAATTTTTAAAGGCTTTTCAGATATTAAACCACAAATGTTATGGGCAGCTGGAACATTAAATTCTCCTATCAGCTTTTCTTCTACTGAGTGTAAAAATAGTCACTTTGAGTCGTGGTTTTTTCCTTGTTTGTGTCATTAGCTTCATTGCCTCCTCTGACTGCCTTCATCTCCCCAGTGTCTTCTACAAGTAGCTCTTTAAAAGAGCAGCTGCAAGCTTTACCAAGGCAGCCATTGCTGGGACAATACTGATGTAAGGAATGAGCTGGGGAAGAATAAACTGCCAAGGGCTGTGCAGAATTTTTCTCTTCTCCTTAGGAGGTACCTCTGTGTGCTGCTTTTCTATTGTCACTTCATGTCTGTGGCAAACCCAGGTAAGGTACAGCACCAGAAGTGTGGCTGAGGACGTTATATGTTTCTCAGTGAAGAAAAGGAAGTAAGAGCAGCTGCTTTTAGTTACTGCTTATTAATTACTTTCCAAGAGATTATTTACTGAGCAACAACCAAAAACCTTCTTAGAAAAGGACAGGCAGGGAGTAGGGCAGCGCATGAGATGATGATGTTTTCTTAACACCAAGAAGTTATGAATTCCAGACTAGGAAATCAAAAGCCTCTTGTTTGCTCAGAAAAAAAAGGAGGGGGAAAAAAAAAAGGATGGGTATAGAGAGAGGAGGGACGTAAGTTTTATTTTGAGAGAGATATGCATGCATAGACACTGATCTGGGACAACTGTAATGATTCTGAAGAAATCTACTACTGAAGTAAGGCAGTCACCCCCCAAGACCTATCAGGGCACATGAAGATATGCCAGCAAAATTTATAATGTACAAAGCTAAAGAATAAATTTGTTGGGAATTTTAAGCCCTGCAGAAGCACGTTGCCATTTGAGATACATTTCTAAACTAATAAGCTAACCAGTTCAGAACTTTGAATGCAAACTTTGTCTATAACTCTTTTTTTCTGTCCTAGTTTCATTTTTAAATATAACTGGTTGTACTGGTTTTGGCTGGGACAGAGTTAATTTTCTTCAAAGTAGCTGTTAAGGTGGTATGTTTTCAATTTGCGCTGAAAACAGCCTTGATAACACAGAGATGTTTTAGTTACTGCTGAACAGTAATTGCACAGTGTCAAGGCCTTGTCTGTCTCCACTACTATCCCAGCAGTGAGTAGCTGGAGGTGCACAAGATATGGGGAGGGGACACAGCCAGGATAGCAGACCTCAACTGGCCAAAGGGACATTCCATCACATATGACATCGTGCTCAGCAGTATGTGCTACAGGGAAAAAAAAGGAAGCGGGTAAGTCATGCGTGATGGAGCCCTGCTTTCCTGGGGTCAGCTAAACGCCAGCCTGCCAACGGGAAGTGATGAATGAATCCTTATTTTGCTTTGCTTGCGTGCACATGTTTTGCTTTACGTATTAAACTGTCTTTATCCCAACCCACAAGTTCCCACACTTTTACGATTCAGATAGTCTCCTCTGTCCCACAGGAGGAGTGAGCGAGCGAGCGGATGAGCTGCTGGCCAGGGTTAAACCATGACATGGTGGTTTGACTGGTCTCTTAAAAAAGAAAAAAAAACACAAAACAACCAACAACCCCACACCCACACATTTCAACTCATCCAGATTTATTATTTTTAATAAGGCTTGGTACTGAAAGACTATGCAACAACCTTTTATTTTAAAAACAAAACAAAAAAACACTTAAAAGAATAGAAGGAAAACTAGGAGTTAAAACTACTGGAATTGGGTAAGGGGGGTATTGTGTAATTATGTATGTTAAAGTGACTTAATGTTTACAGAATGTAATGTCTTCAATACTTTCGTAGTAAGAAAAAACCCAAAACATCATGTTCTTCTTGTAATAAACTTCTAGGACCCCATGTTACTATGAAATATAAGAGCACGAAACACCAGCATTTAAGAATGCTGCAATCACTTATTCAGTCCACTAGATTATGTCTATGAATGTTTTGGTTCCCATTACTATGCCACCTCCCGCATTGATTCACTGTACATTCACATCCAATTTGTAATTTTTTTTGCTCCCCATAGCCTGAACACAAAAGTTTAATTTAAGATTAAATGATTTGTATATTGACCTAATCATTCCTTTCAAGTGCCTTAATGAGCAAGTCAATTGCTTGCAACTGTGCATCTGAACACAGATCAATCCAAAGTGCTGGGAGTGAAACTCATGTTAAGCAATGTAAATGCTAGCATAACCAAATGCAGAGCAACACATTTAGGAAGAAGGATCATACCCACAAAGCAGAAGATCACATTCTTATAAGCTCTAAGAAAGAAGCCAGTATGCAGTGGATGAGCGACCAGTATAACCTCCTGATGCAACATTATAGGAATCAATGCAATTTTTCACTATATTGGGCTTTTCTACACCAGAAGAGCAACATCAAACCTCTTCGACATCACATGATGTACACAGGAGCAATGCACGCATTTTACAGACAAGTCACAAGATCAAACAGACTGCAGAAGAAAGCTCTCGAGGGCAAGTGCCTTACACAAGACAGAACAAACAGACGGAATTCCTTAAGATGACAACTAGCCATATAATTTTTTTAAGGAGAAAATACCATGCGTTATAGAGCTCTATGACCTGGGGAGAAAGGCCTAACAGCCCAAAATGCAAGCCAGACTTCTCAGTATACCAATTAACTTCCTGCTAGCAATAAGCCACTGGAACAAACCACCAGATGTACATCAGAAGCTGAAGAAACTGGCTCTCAATTCAAGATTTGTTGGTCTTCTAGAAAATACATACAGCTAAACTGCAGTTACTGCACTCAGTTAAAGAGAAAAAAATTCAGAAAATGGAAATAGCTTATGACAAAATCCTGACCACACAACAGTATGGTTCCTGTTGTGAAAAAACAGGAAAACAGAAGACCCAAACACACTAGCCTGAAGAAATTTGCTTCCCTCACATCTTGCATGGCCTTGGCTGGATCCAGGTGCACACTATCCTCCTCACTCTCCTATTAATATTAGCAGTATAGTTTTACTGTAGTACACTATGGTACCCTGGTTCTTCCAACTGTCTCACACAGCACTGAGAGGCTAATGGAGAGGAACGGGATACTTACAGGAATAAGGCGCTGAAACAGATGGGAAGCTGTTCAGTGAAGTTATTTCTTTCCAAAATTTAAGACGAAACTGCAATTTGTATGGATCACAGGGCCAGTACACTCCTGATCCTGTGTATATTGTGTTACAAAGTGACCATATTTTCAACCTTTTCCCTCCTCTAAGCAATGCAACTTTGAAAACTAGATTGCCCTAGTAATTCTGTATTATTTAGGATATAATAGAGAGCTTTAACCTTTCCTCATATGTAGGCAAGGGTTGTTTTCTTCCCTTCTCCAGGCACAAGTACGTTGCATTAAGTGCAGATCAACCTCTGATAGATGCCTCTATCACCATTCAAAATACTGCATGTTCATTTTGATAGTAAGTAGTTCTTCCTAGGCCAGATTAAGTGATACACTTCTCTTCCTTCAGAAAGAAGAGATACTGTTTATTCCCTCAGAAGAGAAACAGTATTTGAATTTGACAGAGGTGGCTGCTACAAATATTTCAAGCTTATCCAGAAGTAAAGCTTGGCTAGAAATACTATGAGAGGAAAAAATGGGGCAAGGGTAACAGAGCAGAAGAGATGAGGTTCCCACTCTACATTAAAAATTACTGTAAATTTTCCTGAGTGAAAATGCTATAATCAATGTTTTTGGCTCAGTCTGACATGAAATTAATGAGACATTTCAAGAGTTCTGCGTTTAACCTAAATATTAACTGGGCATCAATTAAAAAAAAAAGTTAGTGACAAACAGTGAAACAGTCACAGTGAGCTCTGGAGGTGTCACTGTACACATGATCACAGCATCACAATCCTGGCATTGTCCAGATGAACACAAGGAAGCACAAATCAAACACTACACCATCAATTAACTGTTACATCCACTGTCATACAAGAGTGCCCCATGTACAGTTTCAAGAGATTCCACTTCATGTCAAAGCCCTGTGTTGCACTTTACAAAGAAAACTAATAACTGATATTTAACTGACCCACAAACCAGGTGTGTGTCCCCAGCTGCTATGATAAGTAAAGCATTTACTTGCCAACACAAGACCGTTGCATGCTGCTGTTGGGAAAAGCAGATTTTGTTCCTCTGTTGACCTGTGGACTTTGAAATGTTCAACTGTTCCTACACGTGGAACATGCAGCAGTCGGCAGACCATAATAACCAGCCTGTGTTTAAGATAATGTATGTCTTCAGATATCTAACCTGAGACTAAATACTTGCTGCTGAATGGAGTGACACGCTGGGCATAAAGCAATGAATGGGGGGGGAGGGAGGCAGGGGGAGAAGGAAACCATTCTTCCAGCAAAAACCAAGTCAGCCTCCTCGCCAACTGATTCAGGCAATGCCTGAACTTGCTTCATCTTTTTTACTCAAAGAAACAACTTCTGAAATTCTGAAAAATATAAATACCCATTCACTCTGGCTGATGATGCACGGATCACCCAATTGTAGCAGACATTTTAAAAAAAGTTACAGTTCCTCAAGAAGGTTAGCATGCTAATACAAGTAGTTTGAAAATAAAGTAAATTTGCCATGAGTGTAGTTAGCCAGAGCTGAGGTACAAACAGAGATTGAGGTAGTTGCAGATTTATGACTGCAGGCTGGAAAGAATAAAAATGCTCTGCTCTGGCAAGTGTTAGAATACTAATTTTTCCAGCAGGGACAGTAGCTGAACAGACACCCATATCACTAATATTCAACAGAAGTGTTCCCTAATGAAAACAGTTACATGAATTAGTACTTTTATGAGGGTTCACAAATATGGTACAGCACAACTGAAGAGTGCAAGCAGTTATGTCAACAGAACCCATCACGCCCACTGTGCCTGAAAAACCTGGAGACATACCTGATTAGTGCTTTTTGCAGCGGAATTGGTCTGAGCTGTATTTGAAGAAAGGGAATCAAAAAAGGCTTGGTCAGCTAATGAGTTACCGCAGCTAATTCCATCTTTTGCACCTTCGGTTATAATCTGAAACGGAAAGAGTTACAAGACATTTTTAATGCTTCCATTAATCAAATTACACTGCTTATCATGTATAATCATCCTAACATTCACATCACTTGATGTTAAGATGGTTGCATATAACCTTTTCGAATTCAAATGGGAATAGTACCTTTTACAAGAAGCTGATGCGAGAATCAACTTCCACAACAGATAGAACTGGTTTGCGCTATCACAGTGTAACATACAAGACTGTTGTGGCAGTGAACACCTAACTATAAATTTACTGGGGATTAACAAGGCTGTTTGTTAACATTACTGCTTGGAGACTGGGAACTCAATACTCAGAGATCATTTTGGGTCAGCAAGTTTGGAGAGCCAAAAGCTAGTAGACCATGAGCTAACCAACTGCAGACAAAAAATGAGGTTATGTGAACAAGCAACCTCCCTTCACCACCAGCCCCATCCCCCACCTTTTTTTTTTTTTTAAATAAACACAGCACTGATGAAGGAAGGGAAGCACATGCCTTATGTGGAGGCTGCAGGAATTACAGCCAGAGCCTTCACCTAACTGGCAACCTGCAGACAGACACTGGCCCCTCCAAGAGTGAACTGGATTCCAATCTTTGCATTGAGACCCCATTCCATCACCACCCCATACCAGCAGTCTTTAAAGAAAGAGCAGATCAACACACACTGAAGAGACAGCAAAGGCCCTCAGGAAACGATGAGACAAGCAGGCTCTGGATTTGGAATCCCATATCCTGAGCCCCAGAAATGGGGTTCAATTCCAGATTTGTAAGTGTGTGGCAAACAAGCCACAGCAACACTAGAGTAAGCTTCCATTATGCATTTCACATCCACATCTGTATCTCCAGACAGGAAAACAAAAAAATTACTGGGTCATAAGACCCCCCCTTTAAAACCAGAAACAGACTCAAAACAGACTCTGCAGATCAGCAGTATTCACTATAGACAACCTTATTTTGTTATATTTCTTGGGAAATCACTAAGAAGCACAGTGGCTTTGGATGGCATGCTTGCACTGGTCCCAAAGCCAGCTGCAGTTGCTACAATGACATTATATATTCCAAGCTTTAACACTGGAAGTATTAAGTTTGAGCATTACAGTCTGATCAGTAAACCAGAGGATGGCCTTTTCAGTAGTTCTGCTTTCCTAGTGCAGAGCAGTATAGCAGTCACTTACCTCAACGTAATCTGTGGGAACGAGTCCTCTCTCGCCTTGGCTGTTTTTTCCTTCTAACCAGCCTCCACCTACATCCTAAAAGAAGTAATAATATAGAAATAGTTTTGCTAGATGGATCACACAGCATGCTTTAAACAGCTCAGTAAGAAGCACTGTCTTGGTGTCAAAAGCAACGTCGGAATAGAGTTATGACTGTATGACCATGAACGAACTTCCTTAAGTCTGCTGAAGCAGCAGATCCTCATTTAAGCAGAACACAGACCATGCTTGCTTCACACAGCTATTATGGACTTCAAATTTAATAGGCGTGAGGGAAGAAAGGTTGATTTTCAGCACTTTTGATCACTTGTGAAACCACTGTCCATTGTCTGGACACAGACTGCGTCAAAACACAGTTATTAGTATGCTATTTCCAAAGCATTAATTTTATTCCATGGATTATAAAGAAACAAGACTACAGGAATTAAGCTATTGGTAATATCTGTAAAATCCTTACTATACTTACTGAACGTGCAGAGGTGTGAGATGATTGGGAGCTATAACCCAGAAAGATTATCCTGAATACTCCTAAATTGAGAGGCACATACCATGCAAGATCTGGAGACTCTCTAGTTTACATTTCATTTCAGAAGCAGGTCTACTGCTACTAGTTTGGAAAGAACTAACAGTTCAGTTCTGATCTTGGTGGGGCATCCTGTTACTGTTTTTTTAACATACATACACTAAGAAACCTGTGCTTGCTGTTAAAGTCAGTTCCAGGACAACATTATGTGGAGTAACTCAAGTTTTGTTTTAAGTCAAGCTGTTCCTTGAATGCACAGATACATGTCAAGCTAATCCACAGCTGAAAATTGGAATCACATACGCTAGACAGCAATTACTCAATTTCTGGGATTTTTTTAATTTGCTTTTTAATAGATGCATTTGTTTATTCACAGTGCTGTTCTTTCCCTTGGAAATTTTATGTAATCCTGCACATAGTAAGAAGTGTGCTTATGCATTCAATATTTTAAACAGAATTTGAAATCAGTTATTTCAATTGCCACACAATTGCTAACTCACCTACCCTCCTCTCTCCCTCAGTGCAGGAAGAGAGTTAGACGAAAAGACAAGGAAAGCTCGTAAAGTTGATATAAGAACTATTTAATAATATAAATGAAAATCATAGTGATACTAACAGTACTACTACTACTACTAAGTAATTCAAATAATAGAAAATAGAACATATGATACAGTAGCTCACCACCCACCAACTGACACACAGCCAGGTCCCAGAGCATCAAGCAGTCCCAGAGCCTGAGAGCCCCAGAGTGGGAAAGAAAACTCACTACAAAAGTGACTACCAATCCACTAACAAAAGAAAACTTCTCCCCTGCTAACAACCCTTCCAAACACTAACAAAAGGAACTAAGGACCCAGCTGTCAAGCTAGCCCAAAGCCTTAACAACTCCCCCAGGCCACTTCCTCACATCAGAGCTGCACATGTGCCCTGAGCCTGACCACGGCATGGCTGCTCTGGGCCAGCAAGCACTGCGCAGAAAAGGAGCTCGTTCCTGTCTAAAACCAGGAGATGTACCTAAAGATGCACTCGAACACAGAAGAAACCAGGCATCTTTGATTGTTAATTCAACTAGCTTGGTTAAGCTGAAAAAGCAATGACATCTTGAGCCACAAATTGCATTTATGCCACTGCACTTAACAGGAATCATCAGTGGACTTTCATGACTTATGCTACTGCTGTCTAAACGCACAATATCAAATCAAGAGCCTTTGTGGCAATCTATCCCACAGTTCAATCATGAACAGCATAAAATTAAATTTTACTTGGTTTTAAGAACATTGCCTTAACACACAGATGTCTTGTTCAGCAAGAACAAGCTTAGAACTGGTAAGCTATGTAGTCCTCCTTTTTTGAAACAGCATTAATCCTGAACTCCTCTATAATGTCACCTCTGCCACAGCACAGCATCATGTCCAAGAGGGTGCTAGTTCCATTAAATATCTGCTTCAAATATTTTAAGGTCAGTAGAACTAAAAATCATCAGGATCACGCATGACTATGCTCTTCAAAGAATTAGCTCATTCTGCAAAACTCGCATTTCCTATACAACCAGATAAATAAAACTGGCATCAAGATGAGGTAGGGTTTGTCTGGATGTGTTTTAAAAGGAAAGTCTACTCACTAAGCCACACAAAAATCAAAAGCAGAAACTAACACTTACCTTGATACCAAGAGTAAGAATTATACACGAGAATAAAAATGCACTCAAACCCAAGCTGTACATGCAAATCAAATGTCAGTGCTCAAAGGTACTATTAATTTAAGAACTCCTTGACATTATTACCATAGTATCATTTCTTCCCTGTACCTTATCCATACTGCTTTAATTATGAAATGACACACAAATTCAGTAACAAATTTTGCAGCAAGTTTTTGATTTGGAACACTGAAGTCACTGATTGAAAAACAATCAAAACCGAGAAGGGAGCTGGCATGTCAGGTTTAAATGCAAGTGGCAAGCATCTGCAAGATGATATACACACAAAACATGGAACATAAAGCACACAAGAAGAACACCACACTCAAATGTAAAGGGTATCACCATGATTAGCTCCTTCCTCTGCCCTGACACTCAGCCCTATTTAGGTGGGAACAAAGCTGAGCAAACTCCTAAGGGTGTAGACACAAGCGGAGAAGAGAGTGTGCCTGTCCACAAAAACCTGTCCTCCTAAACCACTCAGTGCATTTGTTTCCACAAAACTATTAGGATATTCTTTGTGTTTAGTTTATTCGCTACTTCTTCAGGGGAGGGCAGACAGGGCTTTCAGATGTTACCTAGCACCTTTCTGCTTCCACCAGCAAGAAGGTCAGGAGAGCACACTGATGCCTTGATCCCATCTTGGTTCTCTTACCGGATTGGTAATTACGATGATCTCTCCTTCAGTGACGGTCAGCTCGTTGTTTCCAGGCTCAGCCGCAAAATCATACATAACACGAGCCTGTATGTGAAAGAAAATACAGCAGTAAGCCTTCCAGGTTATTTAGAAATTTCATGACAGAATATGAGCACAACTCATTCTTAGTGCATGAGACAACCCCATCATTACAACTGCCTCCAATAAGAAAAGAAGGGTCATTGTTGTAGGCAATTCCCTTCAGAGGGAAACAGAGGACCCAATATGCCACCCAGACCTATTACACACGGAAGTCTGCTGCCTCCCTGGGGTTAGAGACATCTCCAGTAAACTCCCTGGGGTCTGGTACGGCCCTCGGATTATTACCCGCTACTGATCATGCAGGTGGGCTGTGATGAGGTTGAGAAGATGAATCCAAAAGACATCAAAAGGGACTTCAGGGTACTGGGGCAAATGGTTGCAGGATGGGGAACACCGGTAGTGTTTTCCTCAATCCCTTTGGTGGCAGGGAAGCATACTGGAAGGAACAGGAAAGCACACCTGATCAACACGTGGCCCAGAGGCTGGTGCCAGTGGGGGAATTTGGGGTTTTTTTTGATCATGGGGAGGTTTACACAGCATCGGGCCTGCTGGCAACAGATGGCACGTAGCTGTCTCGGAGGGGAAAAAGGATTCTCACCCATAAATTAGCAGGGCTCATCAATACAGCTTTAAACTAAGTTTGAGGGGGAAGAAGGCAAAACCACCTGTGCCACCAACAGATGCCCAGAGCCTGGAGAAAAATCACAGGTCACCAGGAAAGCACCTGGCAAACACAACAAGAGAATTCCAGCTGCTCCAGTCTGCAAGCCAACTTCATCAGGGGTCCATCATAAATGCCTCTATGTGAACACACGGAGCATGAGAAATAAACAAGAGGAGCTGTGACCTCATTGGCATCACAGAGCCGTGATGGGACAGCTCCTACAACTGGAGTGTCAGAATGGAAGGTTACAGGTTCTTTAGGAAGGACAAGCAGAGAAGACATGGAGGGGGTTGCTCTCTACATCAGAGACCAGCTGGAGTGCCTGGAACTCCACCTGGGGATGGATGAGGAGCTGACCCAGAGTTTATGGGTCAGGATTACAGGGAGGGCAGGGAGAGGGGATAAGGTAGTGGGAGTCTGCTACAGGCCACCTGGCCAGGACGAGTGAGTGGAAGAGGCCCTCTACAGACAGATAACAGCCTCACAGTCACAAACCCTGGTCCTCACGGGGGAATTCAACCACCCTGGTATCTGCCGGAGGGACAACACGGCAGGGCACGAGCAAGACAGGAGGCTCCTGGAACACACTGATGACAACTTCCTTCTCCAAGTGATAGAGGAGCTGA